TACAGTCAAGGCAGATATGGAGTGCCTGGGGCTACAAACGGTCTACGGACTCCGTATGTGGAACAAGAATTGGATATCCCTATCACAAAACCTTGCTTCAGATCGCCGCGCCTGGGCAGCGATGATTCGAGACGTTCATGAAGCCGGCTCATCCTCCCGTAGGAGATAGCCGAAGTAAAGTAAAGTAAAGTAAGTGTAGAATGCCCGCCAGCCACTCGTGTGGTCCAGGGGTCGATCCCAAGCTGATACACTCCCAAACCTCACTCAACTGGTAATAAGCCCGGCAAAGAGGAAAGTTTGGGTGTGAGACTAGCAACCTCACTGTGTAAAAATAAAAGCACTGCTACCGAAACCTTAAAAGTTCCAGCTTGAAGATCTGTGTTCCACTTGGAACCCAAGAGAATAAAAAACAATTGAATGTATGTTAGTATGTTTCAAGCTTGAGGAATGAAAAGTTTTTGCTATGAAGTAAACTGTAATCAGTGTTTTGGTCGTTTCGTTAAATCTGTGTTGTCTATATAATGCTCCACATTTACTACACAGCTCGCAATCGATCTACTGATTCTATCTTATCTTTTGGGGTTTAGGTATATTTACAATATGCTTAGTGTAGGTACACAGATATTAATCCCTTCCCAAGGCATCTGCTTTAGTGTGAAGATGTAACCTGATATATGATATTCAACATAATACATGACGTATACATTTCAGCCTATTCTTCTCTTAAATACAAAGTACATTTCCGAAACAGTGTCTGTGATATAAACAATTCTTCAGCTATACTCAGATGAATGCTACCTGCCATATGTAAATTAAATTCATTGAAATCATTCTGAACTTCCTGTTGATTGGCTTTTTTGGGACCAAAAAGCTTGAGTTTTGTTGACGTGTCTGCTGTAAGTACTGATGCTTCGACGATGCCTTGGGAGTAACATGGAATCCAGAGGATGAGTTCCATCCCACTTAGGACTTACCAACAAGATATACCTGCATTCCATGTAGTGATGGTGCTACTGTTTGGTTTCAAATTTCACTGGGAACACCATCACTTTCTGGTATGCAGGTATACACCATCCAAATAGGATGAAGAGTTAGTCCTGGATTCCAACGTTAGCCAATATCAACTAAACTGAATTCGATTGTTATGAGAGACTCTTCAGTCTTTAAAATGCTTTATTTCCTCAAAGCATTTCACTTCACTTAAAATTTACCTAAGATGCAGAATTTTCTGAATATGTCTCTATGATAAAATAATTTTTTTACCTTCACGTTCCCAGTGGTACATAGGGCCTCAAGCTAGTGGCTTCAGGTTTATGTAGAAATTTTTATTTTTACAAGATGGGGTTGCTAGCCTCATGCCCAACTTTCCTGTTTACCAGCATTATTTCTGTCTAAGCGAGGTAAAAGTGTGTCGGCCGGGGACCGAACCCTGGACCGTGTGCATGGTCGGCAAGCGTCCTAACCGCTGTGCCACCGCCGCGCATATAACAAATTGGGTCCCGTTTATCTCAGGTTATCTACATTTTACATTAATTTTGAATCATGGCAACTAACGACAAACGATTTATCTTATCATAATGATATTGGCAAGTGAGTGTATTGAGGGGAAAATATGCATTCAAGGAATTAGTTTCTCCGAATAGTACGATGTATATATATTCAAGTGCATGTATGTATCACAGTGATGAAACACTAAAAAGAGGTAAAATTACTACTTATATACTGACTACAGAACAGCTGCATACTTACGACTATACTGATATTTTATTATGTATAACTTATTCTGAAGTCAGTCAAAACGATGATCAGTCGGTCATAATCCGCACACAAAGTCCGGAGAAGATTAAATAGCTATTCATTACAGAGACCTGAGTTATTATAAATATGAGAGAAATTACTACAAATATCCTGGTTACCTTGAATTCAGCTTTATAGAGAATTATATTTTTTTTCTTATGGATAGGAATAACAAGATCAAAGCATTGAATATCACAAGACACTGTTGTTGTTAATGTATATGAAAGAGCCTACATATTTTCAACTTGGAACAAAAATTCTGTCTACATTTTATCAGATATATTGAATATTTGTACTACAAATAATTCTTTTTTTAAAAAAAGTCTTTCTTGTTGTTAGCTTTACCTAGAAATAAACTGTACGAAACAAGAAGGCATAAAAGCACTTATCAATGAAGTCATCTTTATTGTGCTGTTAATTACTTCAGTAATTTTAAGATATAAAATATTAGAGTATCAAAGTACTTTTTGTTTCTGATAAGTAACACTCCAAAATCTTCAAGAGTTTGGCTTGCAAAGATTAGATTTGTTTATACGAGTTTGACCACACGGATTGATATCAGTTAGAGAACCACTGAAAATCAGAGAGTACTGCAGAGCTGTTTCATCCTAGTTTGGGAATCATCGTCACTACACACCAATCACCAGGGTTCGAAACCAGGACCTTCCAATCACAAAGGCAAGCTCATAGATCAGCTAACCAGCCACTGGGACCCAACTCATTAACCAGCCTATGAATTCTAACTTCTAACAACTCGTGATTTAGCTCGATCACCAACCAATGTGAGGATAGGCTTCTCACCGATGACATTGGTTGGTGGGACATGAGTTCTTTGCTGACTGGTGAGTGCCAGCTAGCACGAAACCTAGATTGAAGGCTTCCTGTCGATTGTCTCCAACCCTCTAATACAGACAGAAATGCATTTAACTAACTTAAATATCTTTTCTTGAAAGCATGAAACACAAATAGTTCATATTATGTGAGGAGGAACTAGTTATACTGAAAGTGTTCTAACAGTAACTGTTATTTAGGCACTGAAGTAATCCAATGGTTTTATTTATATTTAATACAACGCAAAATGACACATACATATATATATTTCCTAGGAACACCATAAGACCGACTTGACATTGTGACTGATGACGACCTTTTATTTAAACCACACAATAACCAGTTAACTTCACCATAGGAAAATAAATAGCATCTTTAAGCCTTGCACAATTTGAAATTGAAGCCTAAATATTTCATTAATAAATGGTGAAGACTTGAATCTAACAAGCACGAAACTTTATCTCTGTAAATTGTCGTCAGCTACTTCCAGTTTATTGGGCTTTACATCGAGATGTGTATTTTTTTTTCCTTCACGTTCCCCAGTGGAACATAGGGCTTCAAGCTAGTGGCTTGAAGTTTCTGTAGCAGTGTTTATTATTTTTACAGGATGGGGTTGCTAGCCTCATGCCCAACCTTTCCTGTTTACCAGCATTATTTCTGGCTTAGTGAGGTAAAGGAGTGAGTGCGTCGGTGGCCGGGAATGGAACCCCGGACCATGTGCATAGTCGGCGAGCGTTCTAACCGCTATGCCACCGACGCACGAGATGCCTAGTAAACACTTTAAATACCGTATTATGCAAGCTCGATAACGAAGAAAATCAACAGTATGTTGAGAAAGACAAAAAAGGAAAAACCACATTTCGAAGTATTTTATTATTATTTGTTTCTCATAATGCTGTCATCTTTACTCTCGTCCCCGAGAATAAAGTTTTTTTGTCATTCACATAAATAAGCGCACACATATATTGACTATTTGACAATGAAATAGTTTAAAATAAGTCTACTATTTTAATACTTATAAAATGATACTAGAATAACACACACACACACACACACACATGCGCACTTGATTACAGAAGATATTAGAAATTGCACGAAAGAATAAAACTAGAACTGTAAGGAAAATAAACAATGAAAAGTCATATTAAGTCATATTAACTAAGAAAATAAAAGTAAACAAATAAAAACAATAACCAAAAACAAACAAAACAAAACGAAAAAGACAACACATGCCCCTCTCCTATAGAGTTAGAGCAATAATTACAATCCATAAGAAAAGAAAGGATATGGTATCCGCTTAAGCTATACAACCAATAAAGTGTATATTTCTGAATAAGAAATACACAGTTGTTGGTTTATCTTCTATCTGAAGATGCAGGTAAAAACAGATGTGGGCTACAATGAGAACAACACCAAAAATAACGAAACATTTAAAAGATATGCGAGTAGCGCGGGCGAGCGAGCGCGCGAATGCGCCCTCCATTCTGATAAGGGGAGGGGGGAAAAGTCGCTCAAATTTAATCAAATGTTTGATATTTTTTATTCACTTATTTCACAAATTAAAATTCAAGAAAAAGAAGAAAAAATTAACTAGAGAACAGGCAAAGAAAACTGAAAATGAAAGAAACACAAATAGAGTATGAAAATAAGTAGTTGTACAGTACAGTAGTAGTGCTACGAAGTTAACAAAAAGTAACCGCAAATAAGGTAAAATTATTATTATTATTATAATAAAGGAATGATATTATATGTTTACAATTTACATGAAATATAATCTAATGCATATATATATATATATATATATATATATATATATATATATTGCGTACGTATGTTGTTTGAAAATTAAAATTAAGCATAACTAAGCATCTTAGAAAAAGGTAGTGTATAGGAGAGATAACACTCTTCACATAGTGTACACAATACACAGCACACGAATAATAGTGGTAAAATGCATATCATAAAAATAAGTGATTAATAATGTAAACTGTCAGTTAAACGAGTAAAGCATGAGTAGTAAACATCTGCTTATAATTTATTAATAATAATAATAAAGTAGAGATTATATATTACATAATTCCTATACGATATGTATAGGAGCGAAATGCGACAAGTATTATTTGTAATTTAGCGCTTTTTCGTGAGCTAGATAAAATGAAATCAGAAAAATCACAAGGAATAGAGTAGAACACGAAAGTTTTCAGCTGTATTCAGTAACTTTTCTTCAACTGTACAAAATAACTTGAACAATGATGAATAGTAAGAATAAGAATAAAGAGAATACAAGTTAAAGAACACAAACATACAATAAATAAACAAATATAATACAAATATAAAACAAGTAAGAATAAATGAAACTTATGGAATCACTGCTACTGAGAAAACACTATATCAGCTGTTGTATTTACGCCAAGATTAAGAGATAAAGTGTTGACTGATTGATTCATAGTGCAATAATCTGAAGTTGGTATATTTACAGATTCAGACAGCGTAGAACTATTGCCGGTTTCTGATGGAACATCTTCGACTACAGCAGTTACATAGCATTCTTTTGTAGGCAATGCACTTGTCGACTGACGTTTAGCTATAATTAGATTCGATTTACTTTGATCATAATCCTCTGAGTTGACAGCATCACTCGTTGACGGTGTAGATGTGACAGTATAATAAGAAGGTGTATGATATGAAAGACGGTTATTAACACGTTTATTGTTAGATCGTGAACGTGAAAATGTATTACGCCAATGACTAGACAACCAGTTACGAAATATACTCATCGATGAATGATCATTTCTAAGAGGCGTGTTACTATTAAGAGATTTATCTGAATTTTGTATTATTCTGTGTAGATTTATAATTTGCCAATTATGCTGATTTATAGGATATTGTGATGAATTTGATGTGTTTAAATTACTCATTGGATAAGTTGCTAACTTTGAATGTTCTGCAGGCAAATTATTTATCTGTGATTTGATCAATTGGTCAGGATAATTAGTGTAAATGAAATTCATCGGATGAGCAGATGAAATCTACAAAAAATAATAAAGAAAAATCAATTTTGTTTAAACAGAATAAAACATGAGTAGGCGGAAGGGGGGGTTAGATGAACATTATTGTAAAATCCCTTTAAACCAGAATATTTAGCAGAAACTTCTATTCGACAAAGAAAGGGAAGATACACAAAAGAAATTCTCACAACTCAGTGATTCATATTTGTTTTCTTTCCGTTGAAATAGGAGCATACAAATTTTTGACTAGATTAGTGATTTTATAAGAAAAAAAAAGTCATTCTAATCCAACTTCACTGGGACAAATGTACAATTTAATGTCACATAAATTCAATAAGGACTATTGGCGAAATTCATTCATTTCATTAATGTACTTACATTGTAGTGAATAACTGTGTCTTTAAAGAGATAAGATTTAAACGCCAGCATTACCTAACAGGCTGCTAAACCACGACTAAAACACCTTTAGTGCAATAAGTCTCAAAGTAGACCAACACACTTCGTACTATTTTTAGCTGCTGGCTTCTGTCGGACAAGTAACATGGTAATGCAATTTAACGCAGTATTTAGCCACTCTTATATGAGTTCATATACTTTAACAGCGATTAAATATATCCATCTAGAAATTTCACAAAAAGTTAAAATTACGATTAGATGGGAAAAAACAGAATTTATGATTTCCACATCAAGACCTACTAATTGAGTTGAATAACTAGAGTAAATACAAACTACAAATGATATTAAATTATTTTTATCTTAATTGTCGGAGACTAAGACTAGTTATTTTCAAAAGTATTTTTTAGGAAAATGATTCATACATTAATGAAACGGCTGACATTATGCAGAATTTCATTACGCCAACCCACACACACACACACACACACACACACATGACCCGGGTTTGATTCTCTGCCAACGCACTCCTAAACTTCACTTAGTCTGTTGAAGTGCCGATTAAAAGGGAAGCTTAGATGTGAGGTTGGCAAACAAAGTAACACCATCACTGAAACTTCAAAGCTCAAATTTAAAGTCTTACGTTCCAGTAGGAACCGCAAAGGGATGAAAAAAATTCACATATATAAGACTACAAATGAACTATAATTTGGACACAAATGTACTTCAATAACTTAGCGAAATACCCAAATAAGGTCAGCCAATAAAAATCAGTAAGAATCTAGAATATAAGATATGAATCTTTTTAGACTAATGGAGAAGGTTTCTAGCTCAGGCAGATGTTTTGCAGAAACCAAACATTCACTTAGAAAAGCAGAAATCCAAAAGTAAACAAAAGAAACTGCCTACGGGGATTATTTTAAGAGCCAGAACACACTGCTGTACTCCATTCTTGAGAAGAACAGGACATATATATATATATATATATATATATATATATATATATATATAAAATGTCTTCATGAAAAATGTATTTCCTAATAATTTCATCAAAATAAGTCTAAACTTAGATCAAACTACCCTCTTAAGAAGCCGCAAGAAAATTCATTCTACTAGGTATAAAGAATACTTCCGGAAGGACGGTTAGAATACTTAAACCATTCAGAATAGATATTGCAAATAGGGCAACGTAGTCATTTGATCCAATATTATGCAAACCAAAAGACCTAACAGAAAAAGAAGACAAGACCAACACCAAGTACAAAATATATTACATAAACTGTGAAAAACACTATATTGGTCATATTTAACATCCTTTTTATCTTCCTATCGACGAATATAGCAGTCAAAGGGAATGATATACATTCTCTCATATCAGTGCATATCGACAACTATAGACACCAGCTCGACTTGAGAAATGTACATTTCATTGATGTTGGAAACACCAAAAATGCCAGGGAATTCCTGGTAGTAGCCTGGTACTCAGATAAATCTGCCGTCAACTGACAAATTAACATAGATCAAATCTGTCAATTAATAAAGAATACGTCGCATAACAAACAAAAAGTCGAATTCCACGTCAATAAGAATACTGATGCTAATGCACATGAACAACTCATCCCAAACAAAGCGGTAAAGATGAAACAATTATATAATTCAAATGAATTCTCTACATTTTAAAGGCCGTGTCAAAGAAGCTGTCTAGAAAGGCGATAGAAGCTACGCAAATAAACCACCCGGCTAAGAGAACACAACCACAGCAACCTATGAACCTTTCCTTTTGTTGAATTACTCATCTACATATTATTATAAATTCAGTTAGTCGATAATTCATACTATCCGAGTTCCTCTGTATGCCAGTATGAAGATGTACATAGAAGATTTCCATTTTTCCCTTCCACTTTAAAAAGATAATGGGATATCTAGAAGAGAATGAAATAAAACTTCGATACACAAATTACTTACACATTAAAAATCAATTCACTAATGAATTGTATTCCTGACCTAATGATATATATATAAGGACATTAATATTATACGAAAAAAAACCTCTATATTTAAGGTCAGTGATTGAATTGAAAATGTAAATTAAGAGTTTCTTCACGCAAGAAGTAAAGAGTCAATTGAAGAGATGATTCTTACTTTCCTTAAAAGGAACAAACAGCTATAAACTGACGATAAATAGTATAACTCAAAAGCAAGAGATAATGAGAACACAACGAATTTCAAACCATACTGTTCTGACTGACTGGTTTCAGCGTAGAACTTTGCACAGATGTACAGCAGTTCGAGTTGCCACACCCCCTCCACGAACCACACGAACCAAGAGAAGAGAGTAAACAGAGACTCATAAGTGGAAGAGAGAGAGATAATAAATAAAAGTGTGAAGGAAAAAGAATGATAATATGGTAGAACAATAGACCTTTATGGGATATGACAAATCACAAAGAATGAATGAATCTGCACCAGACGTTGACAACGATTTTCAACCATATCACCAATTGCCTCCAGCCTTAATTGGTTTTTACCATTCTGAGAACCCCAACCAGACAACGATCTACACCTCCCTACGTGAGCAACTTAAACTACCTGTTGTGGATTTCATTGACTGATGAAGTCATGTTTTCATTTGACCATCACTAGCCAACTCGTTTCCAGCCTGATCCCATGTCAGCTAACATTTGCCGTCGAGGAAGGTGATGGTTAGGCTAGACATGCGTAACACATCTCCTAACCATATCTCTCTATCGGTGTAAATTCACAAACTCGTCGACTGATTTCCCCTCCTTACGTAGCACTCGACCGATGCCTTACCTCAATATTGCTCACCCTATTTATACCACTTAACACGGGAGATAGAAGCCAGAACTATACTGTTCAGAATGAAAAACAATAAGCATTGAACTGGTGAATATATATAACTTACACAAAACTGAAAAACTTGCACAGTTAAGGAAACTCCTACTCTGAAAAAAAAGCTTTTATTCTAATACAAAGTAATGCTAACATGCAATTTACTAAGCATTTTCTTTGTGTTTCCTGGTATCCCAATAATCATAGTTGTTGTATTTGAAACAGATCAAACAACATCTGTCTGTTAGCCTAATATTCAATGTTAAACAATTACAATAGTTTTATCATAATATACTGAAGTCTGAATATGGCAAATATTCTACATTCTTTCACTAAACCGCTGAAATTCAACAATAGTTTACTGAGAAACGACATTGTCTAGACAGCTGTAAAGTTTAAACAGTTGCTATTCAAATAATGACGATTGTATATTGATGTTTTATGTATGATGAAATTAAATTTTAGTAAAATCTACTTTTAGTGTATAGTCGCTAAAAGCAAACTACCAGCAGCAGCCTGCTATTATTTAGTAAATGATATTCCAACATAATACCGAAACTATAATGTGAATAGTAATCACGTATCAGAGTAACAAAGTAACAAAGTGTGCGTGATGTTGATGCATTAGGATAACTAACTGTCATCAATTCCATCCACAAAATATTCATATACAATGGAAAAATTACGTTATATCTGATATCTATCTATTCGTGACGAAAATCTATTTTGAAATCAATTTGACAAAAACTGGAATTCTACCAAAAGTTCAATATCATCGGAAAACTCAAGATGATTATTACGCAAAATGATAATAGAACAGACTCAGTTGATTATCATCTCTTTCGCTAGTTAAACCAACGTTTCTGAATAAGCGTGTATGTTCGGTGATGACCCAGAAGGGGATGTGACGTTTACCTCTTTTTTTTACGGAGTACCTGTAATGTAGTTATCCTTCATTTTTGGCATTAGTTTATTTTGATGATGCTAAAATATGTACAGTTTTAATGCTTTAGATGGATAACAAGAACATATTATTGCCTCTCATCTTGTGTCGAATGAGGTAAATTTAAGTCATTTCTAAACAATATGAGAATTCAGAATAAAACAGGTCGTCAGTTCACCCTATTACACAACCACCTTGCGAGATATACTGTCAAAAAAAATTGGAGAAAAATATTAGAATAGCATTAGATATCCATAGGGTTGGAGTATTAAAAAAAGATGAAGAGTTATACAGTCAGTATAGCGAATTTTAATCCTTGATATTTAACAGTCTTTTTACGAGTTGATCACGGATTGATATCAGTTAGAGAACCATTGAAAACCTCACTGGAGTACTGGACGGCTGCTGTTTCGTCCTAGTTTGGGAATCATCGTCAGTACGCACCAACTCGGAATTCGAACCCAGGGCCGTCCGGTTACAAGGCAAGCTCGTAAACCATTCTGCCACTGGGACCCGATTCAATGGCCAGTCCATGAATTCTAATTTCTACCAATTCGTAATTTAGCGCGCCCCCAAACAATGTCGTTGGTGGGACACCCATCTACACATGTGACATCTAATTGGACCTCACTGGTCACGACTTCTTACTAGAACTCCAGGAAACTCCATCCTGTAGCAAGTCACTAGCGAGCATCAGATTATTTCCCTATAGTTTGGTTTGTAAGGGTTAGTTATGTTTTTACGAGTTGATCACGATTGATATCAGTTAGAGAACCATTGAAAACTGGGGAGTACCGAGCTCGCCTTGTAACCGGAAGGTCCTGGGTTCGAA